CGTGTTCAGCTGGAGGTGGTCTGAGCGGTGTAGTCCTGTGTTGTTGTGTCCTTAGCTCAGCGGTTTTTTGTGTTTATACTTTCAGTTCAGTGAATTGTAGGGAGAGGTTGTCGGGTTTTAGTCGAAACGCTGTTTATTCACCCCTCTCTGTACCGGGAATCCGCTGGAAACAGAAGCAGATTCCTGAAGCTGTAAGGAGGCGGGAGGGACCGATCCATTTGAGAACTTGACTTGCCCAGCTAGCCTTATTTATGTGTGATTAAAATCATATCACGAATATGACGGAAGGGAAAGTTTTGGTACTTTGGAAGTCAGGCTCTGAGCACAGCATTTGCTTGGCATAAGTGCTTTTTGTTTGTGTATCTGAAAACACAGAATTCTGTTTGGTTTTTTTTCTGTATGTTGCAAAAGTACATACTGCTTGCACAGAGATGAAGTGAATCTTCTGCTTACTTAAACAATTCATGGTCATGCTTAGCTGTAGGTACAGAGTTTCTCCTTCTGCTCTTTGTTGGGATTTTGACAGGAGATTCCTATTATCTACACATCACTAGCAAAACATATTGCACTTTCATTCATGGTTTGGATATTCTGCAGTCATGTGAGTACTGAGTCAGGAAGGTCAGCTAAGGGGCAAGCAAAGAAATTGCTAATATCCTCCCATCACTGTGTTAGTTGCAGAAAACAGCTCTTTAAAGATGAAAGTGCTACATTGCTATTCAGTTCACTTTCCACTTCTCATGCCTCAGGAGTTTCTGTTAGATACATTGCATTTCCCTTTTTTCTTTCACACTTCTATTTCTTTGTAAGTGCTTTGTGGTGTTCAAAATCTGCTTTGTGACAGTTTAAAATTACAGATTAATGCTCACATAGCCAAATTTTATAGGTCATAAAAGTAAATGCAACGTTTTTAGCGGATGGTTTTGTGTGCTTGGACAGCTATTGCATGAAGTCGTGCACATGTTCTTTTGAAGGTCCATTTTACTCTTTGAATGGGTGGAAATACGATCTCGCCTTTAACCCCTGTGAAATGTATGGCTCTGTTTCCCTTAGTGTGTGTGCAGTCTTGTTCATTTCCTTTCTGCTTCTCCTAAGTTCTCAGGTAAGACTTACCTGCAGAAGACCAGTGTTAGTTGTCATGAGAATCTGGAAGGATTTCAGATCATGACTGTGAGAACTGTGGAGGAGAGGACTGTAAAACTCCAGTTTGCTTGCTGGGATGGTAATTAAGCATTTTTTTGGTGGAAATCAGGTGATCAGATAAGGTCTAACTGGTTTGTTCATGTAAACTGCACTGCGTATCTGTTGTGCACATCTGATAAGTACTTAAGGCTTTTGTGGCTAAAGGGTTTCCTTGCCCCTTGTCTTATTATCAAATCGTGCTGTAAGAGGTACTGCTATTGCAGTGAACAGATGCCTTAGCTGGAAACTTGCTTTTCAAACAGCTACAGGGTTTTTCACTCATTAGTTACCAAAAAAAAAACCCGAGCCGTGAAGCTTTAGCTGTGGCAGTGCCAGGGAAATAAAGCAATCGGCCTGCCTACTTCCCTGCCATCCACCCTGACCCTGTTTTCTAGCACTGAAACTTTGATTTCTGCTTCATGCAGTTATTTTTGTCTAAGCATATATCACTTTGTTGTCTTTACCACATTCTTCTGAAGGGCAGAATTCTGTATAAAAGTTCAGTAACTTGTTTAAAGCAGTGAAAGACTAAATGGAGACCTTCTTATTGACTGATTAACTTAAGGACAGAATTGCATCATCACCTCGATACCTGGAAAGAAATGTTAGGCTTATACTTGGGAGGGCTTAGTGCTCTTAATTTTCATCTAGATAATATCAAGTAATGGTTTAAGACATGCATGGGTCCTCTCAGCCTCTGAGATCTTCTCTGTTCGCATCCTTCTGTCTCACAACCCCTCTTCCTCTGTTATGTAATGTTTCCCTAATGGGTGAATATTGTAAGTTGCCTTCAGGTTATTTCCTACAGTACCTGTGGGTTTAGAATGGACTATTGCCACCTAAGAGGTTTGCTTGATTCCTCTCTGCCATCTGTTTTGTGCCTAGGTGATTGCCAGCTGCACACATCTTGTGGGATACAGAAGTGCACCACCGATTTTGTGTCCTTCACTTCGCATCTAAACGTGGCTCTCGAGGACTTTGATTTGGAGTTCTGCAAGGCCCTGCGTGCGTACTCTGCGTGTACCTATCGCAATTCCAAAGTATGCCGTGGAAACCTAGTCTACCACTCTGCAGTGCTGGGGATCAGCGACCTCATGAACCAGCGGAACTGTACTAAAGACGGACCCACATCCTCCACCAACCCTGAGATGACCCATGATCCTTGCAGTTACAGTGGTCACACAGAAGCCAGAGAACATCAGGGAGTAGAGAAGACTCCCTCTCCTACTTACCTGTTTTGTGGCTTGTTTGGCGATCCTCATCTGAGGACTTTCAAGGATCACTTCCAGACATGCAAAGTGGAAGGTGCTTGGCCTCTCATAGACAATAACTACATATCAGTGCAAGTGACCAATGTGCCTGTGGTCCCAGGATCCAGCGCTACTGCTACAAATAAGGTATGGATTCTTTAAAGCACTCTGTACTCACACAGGCAGAAGGAAAAGGCCAAGACAGTGAAGTCATTTAGGTCTTAACAGTTGAGAAGTACAGCAGCTTGAGAATCTTCTATGCAGTAGTACAAGAAAGTAAAACTCTTAGCCTCTTATTTTTCCAAGCACCAAACAAAACTTAAACCATCTTCTTTTCTTCCTTCTGCTCCTGCCTATGGCTAGAAAGCTTGTGCATATCACCACATAAGCTTGCAAGGATACTAGGTGTAGCACTTTAAAGCAATTATCAGATAATTGTGTGTATGCGACTGCCTCTACACTATGTGGGAACTCTAAACATCATACAATACTTTAGGCTGGAAGGGACCTTAGAAGAGCAAAGAGTGTAAAGCTCTGCTTTTCATTAATTCTCTAAACTGTAAAAGAATAACAGCAGAAAAGTAAAAAATACCAACAGAGTGGCACAACAAAAGAGTTACTGAAACACTGATGGTTCAGAGCAGAAACAAGAGGGGGAACTGCAGAGAACTGAGAGAAAGTAGCAAAAAAATTACATTGATGCCAAACGGTTGTCTTAGTACCCTGGCTTTGCTAAGGAAGCACTGGCCTTACAATTTTGCTGAGAATATTCAGCCTCTGTTCAGACAGGCAAGACTTAAGATTTCTGTCCTTTCAAGCACTTGAGGTGGTTAGAGTAGGAATACCTGCACTAGTATCAATAGCTTATGCTGTTTCCTTAATTTAAGAAGAGTACTTGCCTCTGTCTGCCGAATGCAGGTAGCAAGTGTGTCTGTCAATAAAAGAAATTACTTAAGCGTACATTTGAAGCTGATGCTCACATATCTCATGCTCTCATATATTACATGCTTCACATACCTACTTCCCCTTTTGCAGTGAAATGTCCTTTTTTTAGCTGTGGTAGTGTAGCTCTTTTATTGTCAGGGTATGTCAGGCTGTATGTAGAAAGTTTCAAGACCATCTAGACTGGAGAATTTTCACTATTTTGTTAAGCTTGGAAGTAGGTTTTTTTATTGCTGGTGTCAGGACTAGGAGTTGCCAGTCACAGTGGGTTAGAGCCTGCACATCTTCCATATGGAGTTGACTGCAGTAGCATTAATAAGGGAAAATTAGTTTTGCTATTAAATTTGTGCTGGGTCCTGAGGTACTGATTAAGGTCAGTGCTTGTATGAGTGAAGCAAATTTTTGCATTTGCCAGAAGCCAGAGGTTGGGCTGAAATTCAGAATCACATTTTCTTAACTTGTGCCTGTTCCAAGAACAGTCTGCTTTGTGAATGAGTTCTGAAAGTGTGTAAAACAAGGGAATGGGGCAAACCTTAGTAAGCTTTGTAGAAGAGCTTTAGGTTCCTTGCAGTTTGCTCCAGTGGCTTTTTTTAAAGACTCCTAAATAAGTGCAAGAAAAAGCTGCATCTCATAATCTGCAGGAAGCTTTAATCCTCAGTTTTCCTAACTCTTTGCAGAATGTTCTTTATTTCGTTGTTCCTGGTATTAGTAGAGGAAAAAGTTGAGGCATGAGTACAAATGGTGTGAGTGGGCAGGGTGTGATGGTGGTAGATAGGTGCTCTTATCTTATACTTTAGCCACATACTTAAAATGATTGACTATGGTAGCATGCTGTGCTGGTGCTTGTCTTCTCAAACAGATAACCAAGAGGAGAACCTCAGGAGATAAATTTCTGTACATACTGGGGGAAAGTGTTTGTCTTTATTTATTCTCAGTGGGTTTGTGTTCTCTGACTCCTCTTTCCTGGAAAAGTGGTAATACGTTTTTGTCTTTTGTAATAGTGTTTTTTCATCACTGTCATTTCACAAGTACAGTTAAGTGTGCAGAAGCAACTAAATGAGATGCATGGTTTAGGACATTAGAAATATCTCTAATGCTAATATATGTTACATGCTGTAGCATCCTTGATTTTTTTTTTTTTTCCTTTTTGGCAGATAATGAAAGGGCACATCTGTTTGTAGGCAAGGAAGGTTGTTAGAGTGTACAAGTAACTTTGCAAGCTAAAGTTTCCCATCTCCGATGCATCTTCTTGCTTGTTAAACTGCATTGCCACTGCTAGTTTCATTCCTGTAACATTTTCATTTTGACTGTAGTAGACTATCTGCTGCTGGGTGTAGTTACCTAATTTTGGCAATAGGGCAGCTTAAGGGATATTTAAGGAGCTACCAAGAGGAGTTTGGTGACATTTTTCTGCCTAGTGTAGTCCCAAGCTGAGACAATGCAAATAGGCCTTCTACCTTCTTCACAAGAAAAATTTCCAGAACATTATCCTTTGTTAGTCTGACTGTTTTCTCAATGCAGGTTATTTGAAATAGATGTTTACTAGGAAATAAAAACAAAGGTATGTGCTAAACTTAAATTGTGCAGAAGCCAAAGAAAATACTAACATAATTAATCCACTCTAAAGCAGACCTAATAAAAGGAAAGGCAGTAAGAGTAGAAAATTTATGCATTTCTTTTAGGGGAAGTGATTCAAGAAGCAGCAGAAACAGCATTTAATCTTCACGCCATATGTAGTGTGCTTTTGAAAGGTGCAGATCATCGCTTGATCCTGTAGGTAGTCCTCTTGAATTTATTCTAGCTTTCTGGTGAACCAACCTTTGAGGGAGTTGCTGATGAAGGGAACTATGTGTAAAGCAATTTTTCTTCTCTTTCCAAGAACTATGAGACTTGACTAGCCCCAGCAGTCTGAGAGCTGTCCAGTAAGTTCATAAAGGACAAGAAAATGCCAGGAGTGGACGCTTTAAGTAAGAATGGGAAGAATAAAAGTATGTTGTTCCTCCCTCACACCCCACTGTGCATCTGGCAGGAAAGTATGAAAAGCAGGAAAACTTTTCCTTTAATTCCTTAATTGGAGGGGCATGTGTTGTGAGAGTAGTGTATTTGTTCACAAAATGCTCTGGGCAATTTGTTTATAGGTGTTTTGCATATTTGTGTTTCCCATAGTAACATCTGTTTTTTCACTGTGAACAAAGCTATTGTATGTTCTGTGGTCTAGCTGAAACTTGAAACTCCAGTTTCTTTCAGCTTGCCTGATGTGCTTATGCCCCTTGGCATAGGATCCTAGGGCCTTTCACGTGGAGAATGAAGAATCGTCACCGAATAGCTCGGGAGCTGAGTGCAAGCTCTCCTTTCTTTTTTTTTTTCTGACGGACTTGTATGAATTTTGAGTAGGTCACTGGCATCTTTTATGTCTGATTTCTCCAGCTGTAGATAAAGAGCTGCCTTGTCTTGAAAGTGGTTTTGCAATTTCCTGAGGATAAATGTCTTTTACAAGGGGTTGTAGAGGAAGCAGTTAGGAAGGGTATTGTAGAATGCATTAAGTAGAAGGTTGAGGCTTTCTTCATTTTATTTATTTTTGTGCTTTATTTGGAGGGTTACAGGGTCTTCGTCAGCTTTCATCACTGTGACAGGTGTTCTGGATATCACTAGAGTAGTTGTCCCTGAATAGCAAGTGAAGCAGAGTTGCTTGGGCTTGCATATGGAAAACTTCCTTCTTGTTTGCATTAATTGGAAATGAAGGTTTTCCTATCCAGGTGTTTTGTAGCAGATAGCTTGAGGGTGAGAGAGTGAATGTAAGGACACACAGATGGAAAAAACCACAGAGCATTTTACTGCAGTGAAGTTACTGGGTATAAACCTTGAAACCTGGGAATTAGTGCTGTTAGTAGGGTAAAGGAACTTTGGGTGCAAATGTTCTTTTTCCCAGAGTCAAAACACTTTTAATATCTCTTTTTGCAGCATGGTTTTTATTTTTGTAGGAAATCATTGCAGAGTGAACACAGTGTACTTCATCTCCTGTAAGTAATGCTAAAACATTTGTCTTCCAGTTACCTTTCAGTTGGTTTTCTAAGTGGAAACATCAGGTAACTGATCATGTGTCACTATGCTTTTCACATTAATGACATCCTTCTTCAGGTGCAGATGAATTTGTCTTTATTTCTCAGAAGTAGTACATACTGTAGTTTTGTTGGGGAACATCATAGAATCGTTTAGGTTGGAAAAGACCTTTAAGATCACTGAGTCTAGTCACAAACCTAACAGTGTCAATTCCACCACTAAACCTGGCCCTTAAGTGCCACATCTGCACGCCGTTTAAACATTTTGGGGGACAGCGACTCAAATGGCTGAGTAGACTGTGCAATGCTTGACAACCCTTTCAATGAAGCAGTTTTCCCTAATATCCAATCTAAACCTCTCTGGTGCAGCTTGTGGCCGTTTACTCTCACACTATCACTACTTGAGAGGAGAGACCAACCCCCACCTGACTACAGCCTCCTTTCAGGCAGTTGCAGAGAGCAATAAGGTCCCCTCAGAGCTTAGCTCTCTTGCCCTTCTCTGGGCATATTCCAGCACCTCAGTGGCTTTCTGGTCTTGAGGGGCCCAAAATTGAACACAGTACACAGGGCGAGGCCTCACCAGTGCCCAGGAGAGTGGTCTTGCTGGCCACACTATTGCTGATCCAAGCCAGGATGCCCTTGGCCTTTTTGGCCACCTTGACACATTGCTGGCTCATGTTCAGCTGGATGTCCACCAGTACCCCCAGGTCCTTTTCCCACAGACAGCTTTCCAGCCACTCTGTCCCAAGCTTGGCAGTGCTGCATTCGTAGTTGGAGTTGATGATCACAGAGATCTCTTTCAACCTAAGTGGTTCTATGAAATGCATAGCCAAACAGGAACATACAGTGATGCCTACAGCATTGTAATTGCATTATGGCACAAAGAAGGCTAGTACAAGAACACAGTGTTGTACAAGAACAAAGTGTTGCATTTGTTTAAACAAGCCAGGCACCTTCTGCTAATACAGTAAGGTCTTCTAGAAACTTTTTTTACCATTCAGTACCACCATCTTTGAAAAGCTTTGCATGTGCAGTGGAATTTAAGAAATCTTTGTGATCAGTACACTCATCAGTACTGGCATCAGTAGGAGGATGAAGTCCAAAATGGAATATGCAGATTGTATGTGTGGGATTGTTTTTTTGTTGTTTTAGTAGACTTACAATAAACAAACATCAGCTACAGTATCTTCAGGTAAGTCTCTGGAAAATGTTATTTTGTGGAAGTGTTCTTGCAACGCTGCCAGAGTGTAAATTAGTATTGTAGATACATATACCTATATACCACATTAAATTTGTTTGAAATAACCTTTTTCACTTTCAGAGCTTTCTGTTATCTTGAGAACTTAAAACAGAACTTTGTAATGAAATTTGCTTCATCTCCCTTTGCAGAAAGCTCTGGAATATCTCTCAGTACCAGGCCATGGTGCTGAGGTAGGAGTGGGTGATAAGGCAACAACGGTGCAGAACTCTGGTTTTATTGATCTGGCCTATGGATTAGGTGGATGTCATATGACAGATAATACAACATTCAAAACTAATGTCTTGAGCTGCAGTGTTTAAATACAAGTATGTCCTTGGAAGATCTTAGTGGTGTCTATTTATTCTCTGGTTGGAGTGTCCTTGCATGGTACATGGAAACCTTTATTCACTTAATAGTTGTGCAAGTCTCATTTGCCGTCCAGCGTTATTGCTAATTTTGAAGGCTTCTCCCTCTGTGTCTCTGAAATTGTGTACATTTCATTCTTGCAGAGGAGGGGGTTTTGGACAGAACAGTTTGATGGCTGCTTCCTAATAAATTTTGCTAGGTGCCTTGCTTAAATGTTTTATTAACCAGCCAGTGCTGTGTGTCATTAAAACAATTAACTCTCTTTGACTCCAGGCTTGTTCAGGTGGTGAGCAGACTTAGAGCATTACTTCTGGAGGTATATAAATAATTCTTTCCTGGCAGAGCAGTGCAGATGTGCCCAAGGAAATAGGAATGCTTCTGTGTCTGAGCATGCTGAGATACAAGTCTGTTTCATCAAAACTATTACATGCAGTATAAGACCTGATTTAGTGCATGAGGGTCTGGATTAAATGCAGAAATACTAATGACTTGAGAGACCTCAAGTTTCTCCTCTCTCGGTTGCTGAGCTTCCCTCACTAAACACAGAGGTGTGAGGTGGTCTTTACAGCAACTGGGGCTGGATTTTGGACATAGGTTTATCTGTAGTTCACAGACATCAGTTTACCAAATGGCTTGCCTCAGGAGATCATAGGTTGCCTCAAGCTGTGTAGCTGATACAATTCAAACTGTATAACTGATTAACACAGAGAAAAACCGTTGGAAAAATCCAGTCAGCACCAGTGGGAACCATCAAAATCAAAATAGCAGATATTATGTATGTTGTGAGACAGAAAGACTGACAAAGCATCAGTCAGCTGGGACAAACCAAACATTGGCAACTAATGCAGTAGGGTGTGCCTGCATACTCCAAACGAGAAATTGCTGCAGTGAGAGGAGGGAGATGGGAAGACTTTTGTGGTGAATACTAGTGATGTGGAGAGGTGAGGCTAATGAGGGCCAAGGTTTTATTTGAATTGTCCATAATTGGCTCTTTATTTAACCTCTAGGTCTTACTTCAGGGCAGAGAGGCAGGAAACAAAAGTTGTTGTGCAGAGGTGATGCTTAACTGAAACTAAATTGTGAGGTTGCTGTAGAGTAGATTTTAAAGAAAAAAATGTAACATTAGTTTGAAAACATCTTCTGATGTGCTTTGGAGTAATCTGACTCTCTTAGCAGACTGCTTAAATCAGACTGTAAGTAATTTGATGTAATCAGTCAGTGATGAAAATAATTATTAAAATACTTATTCCTGGTGCACAATTTCTTTTGACCTCTTCAAGAAGTCACTCCCCTCTGAAACTGTAAAAGAAGTAGCATATCTGTTTCTAATATTTATATGTGATTGCTGATTATACTTTTTATTGTAGGAAAAGCAACTAGGCACTCTAGACTTGGTATACCAAGTAGCCTAATTATTTCTTCAAGTAAGACTGGAGACCTGCTTTTCCTGTTGTGACTTACTTAAGTGTAAAGGTTTAAAAGGCTAGTTGTAATCTTAACCAGAATGAGTAATTGCTTAATGTTCCTGGTTTCTGTGTTGGAAGTCACTCTTCAAAGGCATGTCTTTGAGTATCTTTCAGTCTTGCTTTGTTTCTCCAGGGGCACACTTTCTAACAATAGTGGCCTGAAAGTGTCACATCTCCCAGTTCCTAGGACTAAGGGATCCAGGAGCCCTAAGCAGTTACTTGACTGGACGTTTTTCCCGGTTGTGATTGTACCTTTCCATGATTTTGCAGTGTCATTCTAGTTTTGCCATAGTGGTTAGTATTGTGGGAATTGCTTGGCACTTTCACTTTTCTGTCATTGCAGAAGGCATTCCAAAGTGTTAAACTGTCAGGCAGGAGGGAGTTGTGATGCTTAATTAAATACAAAGTCTTTTCCTTTCCTGCCCTCACAGGTGTTGCTGCATGCCTTGCTTCCAGGCCAGCCTAAATTGCCATCTGGTAAAATATTGCTTTAGGCATATGTACAGGCTGTTTTCCTTTAGGCATGAATTGTGGACAACTTCAGGCTTGTAGGTAGTGGGCAGTTCCAGATACATTAAGCTGCAAAATGGAAAAGATGATGAGTTTTTCCACTAACTTTGCTTTTTCTTTTCCCTCCCACCCAGATAACTATTATCTTTAAATCATACCAAGACTGTACAGATCAGAAGGTATATCAAGCAGTAACTGATGACTTGCCTGCAGCTTTTGTTGATGGTACAACAAGTGGAGGTGATGGGAACACCAGGAGCTTGCTCATCGTGGAGAAAGTCAGTGGCAAGTACATCGAAATGCACGCCAGGTACATTGGGACCACAGTGTACATACGGCAGCTCGGGCACTACTTAACGCTGGCCATACGCATGCCTCAGGAGCTGGTCATGGCCTATGAGGAGAACCAGGATCTGCAGCTGTGTGTGAATGGTTGCCCTTCAAGTGAACGTATTGATGATAGTGGCCACTTGCCACTGCCTGTGATGGGAGCATTGCATCCTTGGGGTGGTACTCCTCATCCCCGATCAGTGTACACGCTGGAAACCGCCACCACCAAATGCCATGAGAAGATGCTAGTGAAGGACATCTATTTCTACTCGTGTATTTTTGACCTACTCACCACTGGTGATGCTAACTTCACAGCTGCTGCTCACAGTGCCTTACAGGATGTGGAGGCACTGCACCCCAGGAAAGAACACTGGCATATCTTTCCCAGGAGCGGAGGTGGTGGTATGGGCAGGGATAGCAAATTATTTGTCAGTCTTGGACTTGTGTACTTGATCCTTGTTGCATTTTTCTAGGGTTTCTTTTGTCTATAACAAAGTTTTGAAATATATATTGTCATAATATATTGAGTAAAGATGAGTATATATGTATATACCATGTATATGAAGGGATGTTTTGTCTTGGGACACCCGCTAGATTGTACATACTGTGTTAACTGTTTTCACATATGTTTGATGCAGTATTCTTTGAATCTATTTGTTTTACAGTTGTTGACATGTTTTATAATGTTCCTGCATTGGGACCTGATAGAAAGCACTTTATTTTTTATATATTAAATATTTAAGTGTGTATCTGAGTAACACATACAATACTCAGTGCTCCCTCTAAGTATTACTTGGTTTAACACATTTTTTTTAAACTGAATTAACTTGTGGGTTTTTCCAAGAGAGCTTTAGTTAATGCCAAACGTGGATATTTTGCAGCTAGTGTATGGTCTCTGGAGAGAGCTTAAGCTTAGAGGGGAAGCTTTTTTTTTTCCACAGGCCCTCCAATTCTCTGTTTTTTAGGATGCTACAGATTTATATTTTTTTCATGTTTGGAAATCCCACAGACCCACTGACGTCTTTGCAAAATGTTTTAGATGTGGTTCAACAGTATACCAGGAGTGTATGTGTGTATTAAGAGTGGCTGTGCAGTGTGTAAATACTTTAAATTATTATAACAGAAGAACAGTTGCGTGCTCTGCTGAGAAGCATCAGCAATGTGGTGTAAGTGACCCCTGGTGGGGTGCAGAGAAATTGGGGATGTAGGCCACATACTGGGCAGGCAATCTATAAATAAAGCTTCACTTTGTCTCCTAGCCAAATAGGATGGATAGGATATTGGATGAAAATGTGCTGAATACAGTTGTTACACTTCTTGCAGATGCTTGTTTCCCCTCTGCTAAATAAGCTGTGTAGTTAAATTTATGACCAGCAGCTGCAAATGAGGCCAGTTGATTGAAGAGATAGTATGTGGGAAACCAAGAGCAGGAACCATCTCCTCAGGATCCCAGTTCCCTTACAGTGTTTGCAGAGATACTTAGAAGAGCTTTAACACAGTGATCTGCTGCTGCTGCATCCCTCCCAAAAGGTGTTATAAAAATCATCTTTTCAAGTTATTGAAGAACTCTTAGACCAGAAGAACCCTGGAATAGAAAATTACTTCCTATAAAACTAGAGATGGTGAAATTGGAAGAATAAATTATACGTAAGATTACAGAAATTTGTGTAACAAGGTGATCTGCTAAGTATATGTGGAAGCTGTAATATTTCAGCTTCACAGTGTGAAGGTAAAGTTAAAGTGCCAGAACTTAAAATAAGTTATGTTAGACACATACCAGAAAAGATTGAGCTAATAAACACAACTTTGAATGTTGCTTTGCTAAACTTGTGTTACGGCTAGAATTCGAGGTGTATAAGGAACAGTCTTATGTGGTAGATGCATCACTGAAACAATTTGTGGAAATTGCTATAGAAAGCAAAAGGAGCTTTAAATACGTATATGTTTACTGTGCACAAAAGGCAGCTGTCATGTCTGTAAGAGCTTACTCTCACAGGTGTGGATCTCCCACCATAAGCTCTGCAGAAAGCAGTGTAACATGATCACCAGTACTTTAATGCTGTGACTAGTCAGCTGTTACTGAAGCTATCTGTTGTTGGCCTTTGTCTTAAGCTAGCCAATGCCTTGGATATTAGTGGCTTATTCAAAAGGGTTTTTCAAAGTATCTTCTAGAGTATTTCTAACGAGAGTGCTTCCTAACCATATGCTAACAGAGGTTCTAACAAAAGTCTTTGTAGTTGTGGAGTCTGGCACCTTCCTTACAGAGCGTGCCACAGAACTCAGCACAAACTGTGTGCTTAATCCTTCATTTTGGTTGTACATAAGGCTCCTAAACAAGGGTACTATAAAAGCAAATAGTAGGCTCAACTGCCTGTCAAACCAAAAATTCTTTTTTCTTCCTGGAAAACCTAACTGGAAGAAAAATCTGTGTACAGCATCTGTTAAGCGGAACACAACATGAGAGAACAACATGGCTTTTGTTCTTATGGCCAAGTTATGGCACTTCAGTATTTAATTTCCTTTCAAACTGCTGCTGTACTGCCAGAAAATAGATCACCAACTATTTATGTTCTCTTACCTTAGCGTTGTGGCTACCATGTGTTTGTTCTAGGAGTTTTGAGGCTGTGCAAGTGGCTGTTTAATAATATACACTCGGAAGTGAAGCAAGCGATGTTGCAAGCTTTGGACTGCTTAATGAGTGAACTTTTTTTGAAAAAAAAGCCCAAGGGACTTGTGCCTTTCTTCTCTTTTGATAGACACAGCACAGTTGAAAATCTTGTGTTAATTTTCTTCATGTGAGTACAGCTGCAGTGTTTTACACTGAAATTTCCATGCTTTGGGTTATTTAATTCCCATCTGTGTCTTGACTGATGTAAACTCTATTCTTTTCTGTTTATCTTATATTCCAGCTGTTAAAGACTGCTGTCTACACAATGCCTAAACAGGACTAGTAATGATTCCCTTTTTTTAGAAGGTACTCTGTGTTGTGCTGCTATTTCTCTCCAGCTATGTTCAAAGAAACAAGGATTGTGGGGATCAATGTTGTTCATAGATTTTATCATTCTTATTGATTATCTTGTTATGGAAAGCAATATAGTCAAAGATTAAGTACAAGTATGCAGGTAAATTTGTGATGCTGATGTAAAACAATTGCATTTGATGTGATTCAGAATTCTTTATGTTTGTAAATTAAACTTTGTTGAAATCAAAAGCTGCTGATAGTAAATCTGTGAACAGTGAGATTGATTACAGTCTTTGTGCGAGGGTATGTGTCAGAATTGACAAGTAGATATAAAAGGGACAGTGTCGTATGTGGAGTGCCAATAACTTTTATTTATAGGAATTATTTTCATGACTACACTAGTTTTAAAGCTTAATTTCCACTTTTATCTGCACTACAGTAGAAAAACATTATACACACAAAACATGTATGTATCATTGATTCTAATATGTGCTGAGGGCTGGGTCTACGAACGATTTTATGTCTAGTTGGTGTGTGGAAACATTTAAATCCAGATTCAGACACACAGTAAAGCCTTTACAGCTTGAACTCAGACATTTCTCTAGAATGTCTAATTCTAGTCCAGTAAAGTCCCACAAGGAACCTGTAGTTTGCTGCTGAGTGGAGAAAACAATTGCAGTCTTAAAGTTTGTACCTGCATCCTAGACAGATTCACATGTTGCTCATCTGCCTGATTTACTTGCAGGACACTTCTGGCAGGTATCTGACCAGCTTACTCACATTTGGCAGATGATGATAGAGTTGTTTATAGTGTAGTGGTGATAAGCATTCTGTTGGAGTTTGGGGGAGGCAAGCTGAACTTCCTCTTGTGCCTTAGTCTTTCACATCTTTTGAGAGTGCCAGTGCCTTAACACCTGGGAGCTATTATCAAATGGATGCCATTCTGTGGTGTTACAAAGGGATAGCTTTAAAGGGATATGTTTTATTCCCCTTTGTCCAAACAAGGCCTTAGGTACCTCAAAGGCAACTGGAGGCATAATTTAACACTTGAGAGGTATTTCACCTTAATTCAGTAAACTAAACGTTTAGGCTTCTGTAGTCAGTAGAGTAAATGGCAATATTGTAGGTTAGGTTGGATTATCTTCTGGAGATGCCTACTGTTATTGTTCAGTAGAGCAGGAAACCCAGCTAGCTATTTTAAACAGCTGAAGTCAGGTGAAATTAAGTCTAGCCCTGATGGGTACATTTTACATTCCAGGCTAGATTCATATCCAGGGGCAACTTGTATTTGCTGGAGACAAGACAGCTGACCCTGCACTTTCCGTACAGCACAGCATGTGTCTCCCAGGCCTGACTGATGGATAATCCTTGGCCTCTGGAAGCCTCATACCTGACCTCCTGGGTCTGGCCTGTACTCTGAAACTTTTAATGTTTGATCCTCTTGAAAGCACTCCTGATGAAGGCAACAATCCAGCCCATCACAGAATCATTAAGGTTGGACAACATCTCCAAGATGATTGAGTTTAACCTTTAACCCAGCACTGCCATGTTCACCACTAAACCATGTCCCCAAGTGCTGTACACCTTTCGAACACTTCCAGGGATGGTGACTCCACTGCTTCCCTGGACGACCTGTTTCAGTGCCTGACAGCCCTTTCTGTGCAAAAAGGTTTTCCTAATATCCAATCTAAACATCCTCTGGTGCAATATAAGGCCATTTCCTCTTGTCCTATCACTTGTATCTGGGAGAAGAGACCAACCCACCTGGCTACAGCCTCCTTTCTGGTAGTTACAGAGTGTGAGAAGGTCTCCCCTGAGCCTCCTTTTCTCCAGACTAAATACCCCTGGCTCCCTCAGCTGCTCCTCCTAAGACTTGTGCTCTAGACTTTTGCTGTACTGGTCTCTTCTCCTCCCCTAAAGCAGCTCTGTGCAGGACAGGGGGAGGGCAGAAAAGAGGAAAAAAAGAAGCTGGAATCAGGGGACAAAGAGGAAAGAGACCAGAGTGGGTAAGGTTTCTAATCACGATTTTGGCCTTTAAATCGCAGACTGTTTACATTTTCCAGTGAAGGATGCAAAGTATGTATAAAGTCCACATAGGAGCAAGGGCTGTGTTTTCTAATCAGAGTGTTGTATCTCTTAGGGTGTCCTTTGGTGTGTCACTTGCTGCCATTACCATGCAGGTGTTTTTACAGAAAGCAAGAGAGCTGCCAAAACCCTTAAAGAACCTGCAGCCAAATTATTAGTGTATTTGACTAGAAAGTAGGAGACCAGAGTTTCTTTGAATCCCCACTGCAACTTCTGTAAAGGAGATGTGTGAACAAAGGTTTCTGGCCTTCGCGGGTGACTGCAACAATCACTATCCTACTGGGCTTATCAGCTTTTATCTGGAAATGATAAAAAGCAACCTGCTTCCTCTGCTGGAAACTGGTGGAGGTCAGCACTACCTCTCTGCTGGAGTTGTCAGGTTCTGTGAAAATTTTAGTCCACTATTTCCTACTGAATAGCTAAAAGCTACAAACCCACGATGTAGACACCGACAGCCTGACTTGCTGCAAGATATCTCACTCTCCAAAGGTCTTCCTAGAGAGCAGTACGACCCAAATGTCTGCATGCTGTGCTTCTCAGCACCCCAGTGCAAGAGCAGTAGATCCAGTATATGCTGAAGTATATGCAGAAAATATCCTAAAGTGATGTTAAAAGCTAGCTCACCCCTGAAATCATTGCAGATGGCTGTAACATCCTTATTCCAGATAGCCTGGTGCATCTGGTTAAATCCTTTAACTCAGCCCCACTTCTACATAGGAGCCTCAGAGCCCTGATCCAGCTGGTAGCTTTTCCCAG